TTTTTTTAGATATGCAAGGGGTTTATAGGGATAATCTGTTTTGAGCTCAATCGTAAACAAAATTTTATGGGTAAAAGACTCAAGGAGACCCTAAGTTTTCATAAATTTACTTAACATACCCTTAGTTTTCCAAATAGACTTAAAGATACCTTGTGGGCTGACCCCACATGACTTAAATTTATCGAAAAAGTACAGACAAGTCTAATGCAGATTTTTTATTTCTATTGTAGAGTTATAAACATTCAAAATGTCAACAATCCACACTCTATGCATCAACGCCCCTTGGGAATTGGCATCAATTTCAAGCTGGAACCTACCCCAACAATACTTTGGGCCTACAAATTCTGACCCTGGGCTTAACTGTCTTTCTCCCTAAATTTATCCTCATTTGATAAAACGTAATATGCCGTTTCATGAACCTTTTTTAATATTTTAAAATTCCTATTTTAACCATTATAAAGAATAAACCTCTTTTAAATGACAACAAGGTATATTTAAGTCTATTCACTTAAATTCTCTTTGAAAATTTGAAGAATGCAGAAGGGTAAAAAAGTCATTCACTTAAATTTCCTTGTGCCCAATGACCACAAGGTATATTTAAGTCTTCGAAAAATGCAGGGTATGCTCAAGTCAATTTGCGAAAACTCGGGATATGTTTGTCTTTTACCCAAATTTTATTCATTTCTTCGGGGGAGTTATGCACCTCGCACCTCCTGCTTCATGTTTCTATTAGTGTTCTTAAATAATCTAGTTTTAAAAGGCAAAAATACCCTCCTGCTTCATCATGTCTCTATTAGTGTGCTTAAATAATCTAGTTTTAAAAAACAAAAATACCCTCATGAGGCATCTTTGATACCAAGTTGTTTTTTGTCTTTGAATACCAAAAAGAAGTTGTTCTGTCTTTTAAACAAGGATATTAGGGGTTATAAGGGTTTCGTTAATTGAACCATGGGCATATATTTCAAATTGAATCGGTCCTTTTTGGTTTTTGCAATGCTTTGAATTAAAACCAAACTGAATCAACCGATTAAATCAGTTTGATTTTTAACCAGTTCGGTTCTTCAAATTTTCAACTTTATATATATATATATATATATATATATATATATATGTATATATATATTGTAGGCGCATTCGGCTCCCCCAATACGGGGCTGATGCGTGTGAGAGAGTGGGTGACAGCATGGGGTCGCCATAAGGACACGCGGACCCCTTCGGTACAATTGTAGGCGCCGCGTGTCCTCCGTTGGAATATCTCGTGAGCCCTCGTATGGCTCGCATCTGAGCCATTCGAGCCCAGCCGTTCTCAGGCAATGCGCCTCTCACAAGGTAAGGGATTTCAGAATTGTTGAGACCTCTCATATTCTCTCCTTTGAGGACTTAGTGCCATCAGTGACTTCATCTGGACCCCTCGGCTCTAGACTTACTGCTTACCTAGTGCAGACACTAACTTGACCGTCAGAGTCCTTGCCTCAGGTTTCCACCCGAGGCCTCTGACACTCTTTTCCTTGGAGAGCAATTTCCGAGAGCTCCTCTAGACCCCTCGTACACACAAGTGAGCAGCTGTGTCTTGATCTCCTTGAACGTCTTTCTCAGTACTAGCCCTCGGCCTCTACAGTATCTGAGGGAGCGATCTGCCTCGGCCTCAACACATCCTCTCTGAACCCTCAAAGCCTTCGGCCCTCCTTCGAAGCTTGGAAGTGAATTTACTTTGTTGCCCTCGACTAATCCGAGTGCCAACATAAATAAATATATAATAAAAATACAATACATGTATAATATTATACTATAACTAACAAATAATATATAATATATTATAAATACTGTAAATGTATATAATATATTATAAATATATTATATTTAATGCATATTATATATATATGGATACTTCCTGATCAGTACCCTAAACTTTAGGGGTCGTGTCAAGTCAGCCCTCAAACTTCAAAACGTGTATATGCAGTATCTTGAACTTTTAAAATGTGTCTAATAGGTCCATGTCGTTAACAGTTCATCAGTTAATTTTGGAAATGTCAAAACTACCCATCAGGTGTCATCTAATTTTCTTTATTTGCCACATCCACATAAACCAATTTAAACAAAACTCTTTCCGTTTAAATCATGATTCCAGTAAACTATGTTTTTGTTTCACCTTGATTCCAAGCAATCTTGTTTTTTGGCTTGTGGAATGATCGATTACCGGTTATCAACGAATATGTGGGTGGGCTACAACATAATCAACAATCAACAAAACCTTTTCCTTGTAAATGCTAAGTTCGACATCATTTCCCCTTGCATCCTAGCTGAGATAAGAAGGTTGCAGCAACTATCCAAGATGGATTTTACAAAATATAGGAAATTTTCATTAGTTACATAAAATAAAAAATTCAAGAATATATAGGAAATCGTAGCAAATGGCAATTTCAGCCATTGTCAGAACTTGGTTAGTTCCCAGCACCATCATTGGTTTGTTCATATCTGTTCTTGGCACCATCGTCAGTTCCCAGAACTGTCATAGCAATGGCGTAGCTCTTCAGACTTAAGATAGAATACAATGAACAATGTCTTTTTCTCAAGGATAGTTTGGGTATTTTAAAAAATTTAAGTGGCACATGTCATCATGTGATATAGATGACTAACGGAATGTTAACGACAAGGACCTATTAGATACATTCTAAAAGTTTAGGGATACTACATAGACACGTTTTGAAGTACAGGGACTAACTTGAGACAACCCCTAAGTTCAGGGTACTACTAGAGGTGTAAAGTGGGCCCATGGGCGGCCCATGCTAAAGGCGGGCCGTGTCGTACTGGCATGAGGGCCGTCATGGGCTGTGCCACCCTCCTCGATGAAAATTTTGCGGGTTGGCTCGGCACGGCCCATGGTCCAGGCCTAGGCGGGCTCGTGCCGTGCCTTGCCGTGCTATAGGCCTGGGTCGGGCTGGGCTGTAGGCTGTGCCATGGGCTTGGGTCGTGCCGGGCTGGGCCATAGAGCGGGCCTTGGGCCTGGGCCGAATCGGGCTAGACTCACTAATTGGATTATGGATATCAGGACATGATACGAATAATTATGAATTTGCGATTACCCAAAGAATAAATAAAGAAAAGTATAAAACAATTCAAATGGGAATTTAAGAATTTTATTTCATTTAAATTTGAACGAATAATGATACAAATTACAAAGCATACAATTATACAAATATTGAAATTATGAAATATACAATAGTTAGATACTTTAGAAACTTTATATTGGGATGAATGGAATATGAAAATGGAATAAATTAATAAAATGTAAAAAATACAATATAGAATTATAGACTATATAATTACAAATTGAAAATACAAAATTATATTAGTAGCAAATAAATTAAATAAAATTAAAACAAAATTTACAACAATTTGACAAAATAAAAAATTGTGGGTTATTTGTTAAAATTTACAATTTAAACAAAATTTACATATACATTATGATGAAAGCATTCACACACACTTTCATCATCTGCTTTAGGTAAAAAATGAAATATTGGGTGTATGTAGTAGTATCATGCCCTCCTTTGTCTTGTAATTGTAAAGTTGTAATCTATATTCTACATCATGATTCTTGACTGCATCTAGCCAACCCTGGTACAGTGGTAGTGTGGTACCTGCAGGTCCTGCACTAAAATGACTTAACAAGACTCCGATGGAATTGTAGCCTAGACACTGGAGGGGTTAGTAGATCACGGGTCATGTGCCATGGCGGGATTGGCGGCGAGAAATGTTCTCCGAGACTCTGACTTCTCCCAATATTTTTAAAATATATTTTCCATTATTTCAAAAATTCATTTAAATTGTGGGTTATTTCTTCTTCCTTCTCATGTGTGAGAAAATGTCTAGTCAAATGGCCAGTAACACCATTGCTACAATAGCTAAAGTCTTTTCTACATTTTTTGCAAACTGTTTTTTTCCCTTTCCCCTAAACATCCTCTATTTTTAAATATTCCCCAAATCGGGCTACTAAACTTGAGGTTTTGGGAAGAGCTGGCCATTGTTTTTTCAAATTCTAAAAAAATAAAATTAATTTAATTGGACTTACCTTGGATTGCCGGTTCAAAATCCCAACTTGATTTCAATGGTTAAAGCCTTTCAACGTGACAACGTTCAAGGCTCCAAGCCTCCCAAATTGCTGACTTGGAGAATTAGACTATGAGAGACTGAGAGTTAGAGACAGAGAGAGGAAAGACTTAAGAGAATAACTTAATAAGAGAATTGTTGAATGTTAATTGTTGAATTGGTGTGATGAGAATGGTGGAGGATAGGGCTATTTATAGGAATTGAACATAATTCAATTGTCCAAAATACCCAAAAAACTAACTATTATTTAGTTGTTGGGAGGGGTATTTTGGTCATTGTAAAGTTATTTATAACTTTACCCAAAAAAACCCCCTAAACTAGTTGTTATATAGTCATTGGGGGCATTTATGTTATTTTTTAACCCCCATAAAATACACAAATACCCCCTTAATATGACTGTTTATAGCTGTTGGGGGGTATTTCTATAAACCCCCTCCAAAAGCTGAAATTAGCCGTTGGGCCCCTTTGGGGCTAGCCGACAGGGCACCGGGGGGGCAACGGCTATATTCTGGGCGGGCCGTGCTTGGCCCGCTATGGCCCTTTAGGCCATGCTGGTGCTGGCCCATGAGGGGCCGTGCTGTGGGCCATGAGCAGACCCCCGACCCAGCACGACACTGACCTTCGTGCTGGGCCTGGCACGGCCCATGGGCCTTCGTTCCGGGCCAGGCCGAGGGCAGCCGGGCCCAATTTACACCTCTAGGTACTACTGATCAAGAATTTTCTCAATATTTTAATCACGTGTTTTTTCTAGGTTAACCGTATCTTCGGTTTATTTATTTATTTTTTAAAATATCGAACTGATCGATTCGGTTAATTCGGTTCGGTACCGGTTCGGAATATGAAAATGGGACGTGGTCGAATCGTTTCCCTTTGAAGCATATTATCCGAGTCCGAGAGTAAAGAAAAGCTTCACTCTCCGTTCCACTCTGCAGTCTCTCTCTCTCTCTCTCTCATGACTTGTCGACTCCGTCTCCAAAGCATCCTCGGTGTGAGCAGAAGTAGCATTTGCGAACGACGTTTCTCTCCCGCTCGGACCAAACCCAGGTTCCTTCTGTGTCTCTCTACATACACACCTACATGCATTCAGCATTCATTCCAAACCCATATCCTTAAAAGTTAATGGGATTTAGAATTCTTTCCAGTTTTCACTTTCCTAAGTCGCATAACCGCGCATAGATGTATACAGATACATGTATACATACATGGTACATATGTCTGGGCATATTTCTCTTTGTTACGATCGTCTGTTCCGGGTTCGATCCTCTACAACTGCACTTTATGCTCTCTGTTGATTCATTTGTTGTATTATATATATACAAATAGGGTTTGGTTCAGTACGAGTGCATACAGGGCTGAGGTTGGAATGGAGAGAAGTGATCGATCCAAGGTCTCCGATGGAATGGTGGTGGTCGGCGATCCTCAGTTGCTCGAGAACAAAAAAGCTGCAATTCGGAATGCCGGTCCTGGAAAACTCCAGGTTTTCATCTGAACTTGTTGACAATTTATTTGTGTTGGTTTACATCTTCTTTATAGTTTGTTTTATTAAAATTTTGTTTTTTATTCAGTTTCTGGTATATAGATACGAATGTGATACACCATGAAAACTAAGGAATCGTTGAAATTATGGTGCTTTAACGTTGCACCCAGAAATGAACTTTGAATTACTTTGGCCCAGATGGCCAAAAACAGAGGAAAATCCTCTCCACTTGTATATCACAGCTTCACAAGACTTGGATTGCTTAACAATAACTGCTCTATTCGGTTTCCTTCTATTAGCTACATTTGGTTGCTCCTGAACCTAATGATTCAATTAGCAACTTAAAGGATGCTAAACGACTAGGCATTTCCAAGACAGCCCAGAATTGGGTATCAAGTGATGCCAAGTCTGCTAGGTAAACCTATATTATAGTAAGAGGTGATTAATGGTTTACCAGTTCAGCATATACCAAGCTCACGAGACAATGATTTGCCAAAAAACGTACTACAGTTGATGCGTTTGTGAACTAGAAGATTTTGTCAAGCTCAGTCATCAATGTGGAGGAAGAATGGTATGTTAAAGGGGGCACCTGAACCCCATACATTTTTGGAGAAGGATGAGGGGGAGGCAACCAAGAGAGTCATGAAGAATAAATGAAACAAGAAGATGCCTCTCACATTCCACCTTGAACTGATTCTCCAAATAAGATGTTTAACCATACCCTTCAAGCTTCCTACTAGCTTGGTAAGAGCTTCTACTTCCAGTATTTAAATACATCCTAAGTGAAAGGGTGCTTGTATTTTTTTTCCTCTTTCACATTAAAGCAGATATTACATAAAACTTCTTTTTCTGTTTCTAAGGCAAAGAAATTTATGTGAAGCATACATGATGGATGCTGTGGGCATGGAATCCTTTCCAATTTCACACTTTTTCTGAACCTCAGTTGGTATATTAACGAAGGAAAGAAAATAGGTAGGTTCATTTAATATGGGGGGTTGAATTATTCAGTTAGACGTTCAATGAAGGATTAGTAGTATGTTTGCCCACAAGGTGAAAGTTAGAAAATCTTATATATATATATATAAAACAAACCATTTCTAAATTTTCCCCTAGAAATTTTGATGCAGTGCATTACTTTTTGCTTTTACCCTCAAATTTGGGAAGAAAGGAACTCTAGAATCTTTCTAGAGAAGGAGAGAAGCAAGGAAGATGTAGACCAGAAGTGCTGGCCCTGTTGGAAGGTGTTCAAAGAGCAAATGATCTGAACATTAGGAAGTTGGTTGTTGAGGGTGACTCCGAACTGGTAGTAAGTTGGTTACAAGGAGAGGATTCAAAGTTTCGGATATATAGCAATGGAAAGAAGAAAGTCTGGTGGTTGACAAGAGATATGGAAATTTCCTTCAATTGGGTTAAACGTTGCGCCAACATGGTAGCTGATGTACCCCCTTTCGGAGGTTTTTCCTTCTCTCTTTGAGCTTTCTAGTTTTAAAGGTAAACCTATTTGTGATTTTATCAGCTCTCCTCATCCCTTTCAAACCCGAGTTGGAATCTTGGCTTCACTAGAAATCTGAGAGAATCTGAAATTTCCAATGCCTCAGCTTTGCTTCTTCTGTTGAGTTCAGTATGTTTGGGGAGAGTGGTTCAGATTCTAGAGTGTGGACCCTTAGTCAGTTGGGCTCTTTTTCCTGTAAGTCCTTTTTGAATTCTCTTATCTCCACCACCCCCTCTCCTCATTTCCCTGTTAAGGAGATGCGGTCTCGGCCCATCCCTCCAAAAGTCAGTGCTTTTTGTTGGGAAGTGTTTCATGGCTCCATTAACACCTGTGATTTGCTTCAGAGGAAAAGACCAAATTGGTGTCTGTCCCCAAGTTGGTGCTCTTTATGTAAGTTGTATGGTGAGACTACCTTTCATCTTTTGATCTCCTGTGCTTTTGCTACTTTTATTTGGGAGTGGTTTTCATCTCTTTTTGGATGCAGTTGGCTTCCCCCTGATTGTCTGGAAGGTGTTTTTAGCTCTCACCTTTTCAACTGCCCTAAAAGAAGAGGCAGAATTATGTGGAGATGCACTAGAGCAGTAGTAATCTAGACAATTTGGGAGGAAAGGAATCTTAGAATCTTTGAAGACAAGGAAAGAAGTAAAGAAGCTGTGATTGAGGTGATTACTCTCAGAGTAGCACATTGGGTGAGCACTTTAAAGCTCTTTGCTGACTTTAAGGTTGAAAATTTCTGCAGATCGTGGGGAATAATTTCAGGTTCTTCGTCTAGAAGGCAGATTGTTCATGAGGCTTGGTCTCCTCCATGTGTTGGGTGGAAGAAATTATACTTTGATGGTAGTTGTATGGGCAATCCTGGACCATCGGGTATTGGTGGGGTAATTAGGGAAGAAAATGGAAACATTCTAGCTTTGTACTCATGTCCTATTCAGCATGGAGATGTGGTGAGATCAGAGTTATTGGCAGCAGTCTACGGAGTAGAGAAAGCTAAAGAAATGAGGATTACTAAGCTGATTATTGAAGGTGATTCAAAAGTAGTTGTGGGCTGGTTGAAAAAAGGGGAAGGAATCGTATGGAAGTTAAGGAATGAATTCAGTAGATTCAAGCAGATTTCTAAATATATGATGATCCAAATAAGATGGATTAGGAGGTCTGCAAACAGTTTGGTTGATGGTCTGACAAAGCAAGGAACTCAAAGACAATCTATGTTTTGGGCAATTCTGTAAATAGTGAATAGTTCTGGGTGGGCTTTGTTTTTGTGCGCACAACTCTTTGTTGTATCTCTATTTTTTAATCTAATGAATCAATTTTGTGTTGCTGATAAAAAAAAAAGAAATGCTAGCTGATGTTTTAGCCAAACAAGGGGTGGGGAGAGATTCTATGTCATGGGCAATTTTGTAAATAAGTGAATAATTGGGGGAGAGATAAGGGAATTTATCTCTCATTGACTAACACTTACTTCTGGATTTCTTATGTTGTACACTTAACTCTATCTCTTTAATGAATTGAAATTATGCTGTTATTGATAAAAAAATGAGTACCAATGAAAGAGAGTTCCTTTAGGATTGAGGAATTCTGATCTTGTCTCTCTGTTGTAAGGTTTGAAATTAGCCTACTCCTTGGGTTGGACTGATTGTCATTAAGGCTATGTTTGGTTTGAAGGAAAAGGTAGGGAATGGAAGGGAAAGATATCAAAACCTATACAAGGTTTGTAAAGGTTTCCTTGCCTTTCCTTGCCTTTCCCTACTTTTTCCTTCAAACCAAACGTAGCCTAAGGGTGACTGCCAAACAGTAATTGGGTGGCTGTCACTAGTGTAAATGGCCCTTGGGCTCTTGGAGATTACATTAGATAGGCAAAAGCATTTTATTTTTTTGATAAGCAACACAAAAATGATTCATTAGATTATAAAAGCATATACAACAAGAATGCAAGGTGCCAACCAGCTGGTTGGTAAGGTCTCCTGCTGGTCGTAGCAGAGACTTGGGATCGAATCCCTCCTGCACCTGAGTTGGGTGGGCTATGAGTTGGGGGATGGGCTACCCCCTGTTGTGTAGCCCTTCAAAAGATAATCAAAAAAAGCATATACAACAACAAGTTGTGGGCAGAAAAAGAAGCCCAAAAGAAATATCCCACTAATTACAAAACAGCACAAAACATAGATTGTCTTTGAATTGTGTTTAGCTGGACCATAAGCCATGCTGTTAGCTGATCTCCTAATCCATCTTATTTGAATCAACATGTCTTTAGATATCTGCTTGAAGCGCCTGAGCTCATTCCTTAGCTTCCATATTACTCCTTCCCCCTTCTTCAGCCAATTCACAACAATTTTTAAATCTCCTTCAATAATCAGCCTGTAAATCCCCATTTCTATAGCTTTTTTCAATACCACATACTGCTGCCATCAGTTCTGATCTCACCACATCACCTTGCTGAATAGGACCTGAGTACATGGCTAAAATATTTCCATTCTCGAACCTTTAGAGAGGCAAAAGCATTGGCTTCTAGGGTTTTCCAGATAGGTTCCTATAACTGCCAATGGTATTGTTGATGCATTTGAAAGGGAAAGAGTAAGGAGATTAGATCTTCTATGGAGTGTCCCTGGCTCGGTGATTCCTTTATAAGGGTGGCTTGATTTGTTTTTAGTACCTAGCCTTTTATGTTCTTATGTCTTTTTTAGCCGAGAGCTGTGCATCCATCCTCACTACTCTTGATCGTATGCAGGGTAGGGTTTACAGTCTTCAATTAATGATCTACTTTCATTGTTGTTGTTAAAAATGATATTCAAATTAGACATAAGGAGATTAGATCTTGTATGGAGTGTCCCTAGCTTGGTGACTCCTTTATAAGGGTGGCTTGATCTGTTTTCAGTACCTAGTCTTTTATGTTCTTGTGCCTGTTTTAGCCAAGTGCTGTGTATTCATCCTCCCTACTCTTGATCATATGCAGGGTAGGGGTTTTACAGTCTTCAATTAATGCCCTACTTTGATTGTTGTTGTACATGACATTTTAATTTAATGAATTAATTTTGTCTTGCTGATAAAAAAAGGCCTACTTTGATCGTTGTTGTTAAAAATGATATTCAAATTAGACTTGAAGGTTTTTTTTTTTTTTTTACATAATTCTTCTACCAGACTTAGGTTCCTATCTCCTTAGAACTCAAGGATACAGAGGTATGAGCCTATAGAACAGATCCTGTTCAAGTAAGGTCGTAAGATTTTTTTATTTTTGTTTTTTTGAAACTGTAAGGTAAAGTATTTCATTCAAAAATCAAAAAGATACAAAGGATGTATCCTGTACAATGAAATTCTTTACAAGGATACAGCCAAATGATCCTTTACAAAGAACCAAAACATCCAAATATCCTTTTTTATTCCTTATAAAAAGAAAATCCTTATAAAAATGTACTAGTGTGTATATTTTTAAACAAAGATTGATTTGACAACCAAGAAAACACCATGCCAACCACTTTCTTGAAAGCCTCTTCTTTTGAACTCTGTCTTCCCTCAAATATTCTGCTATTTCTTTCATTCTGTACTGCCCAAAACACTGCCTGGGATGATAAACCATGCAACCCTACCAGTCTTTCTTAAACCCCTTGTAAACCAAGCTTCGATGAATCCATTCACATCACCGAGAAGCACATCCTGGCTCCAAATAGATCCAACACTCTTCCCCAAATCCAGAATACAAAATCACAGTAAATCAGGTGATTAGTGGTTTCCACACATCTTCTACACAAGCTGCAACCCTCATCATCCACCTCCACACCTCTTCTCAGTAGATTGTCCCTTATCAGAATCTTATGCAGCACTGCTGTTCACACAAAGAAAGCCAGTTAGATGGAACATTTCTGATCCAAATTGTCACTTAGAAAATCAGAGTGATAGATGGGGTGGCTTGGGGGATTCCTTAATTTTGTTCATGACTTCTCGAGAAGAAATGGTTTGAGTCATTTGACAGTAGTTGGACTGTTGGAGAATGTGGTTGAAGTTCTGAGGGGTAACCAAGCAAAAGGGGGTCAGCTTTCACACCTCTCCCTTCTTTGTGCATGGAGATGGTTTGGATTTTTCTGTAGATGAGAGGTAGTAAATTTTTAATGGTTTGATGTGGGAATGAAGACAATCCCAATGTCATAAATTTCACAGTATTGTATTTTGCATTTTGCAGATGTCTGGTTAGAGTAATTGGAATTGGATCTAAGAAATTCAATTCAAGCAATCCCAATTCTAAGAATTGTAATTCATGAACTTGAAATTTTGATGTTTGACATCCGTTTCAGTGTGGAATTAGCCCAAAATTACAACTACAACTTTGCTATAATGGAATTAGCACAAAACTACAATGTATGTGGAACATTTAAAAAATATAGGTCACTTTTAACAAAAGGCATTTTAGCCATTTTTAAGCTATCGGTTTAAGCTCTCTCAAACACTGGCTAAACATGCTTCTCTATTTTATACACACACACATACATACATACATACATATTTTTAATTCTTTTCAATTCCAGGTAATTGCAGATTTTGATGCTACACTAACAAAGTACAGGATAAACGGCTGCTGTGGCCAGAGTAAGTTTCTTTTTTTTACCAGATGCTTATTTGATTATATTTATGATTTTTCTTCTGGAACTTAACTTTCATTTTTCTCTAATTACATGGTTAGCCAGTCATAACTTGTTGCAGCAGAGTAATCCTGAGTATGACATCAAAAGACAGGAACTATATGAATATTATCATCCTTTAGAATTTTCTCCCATAATTCCCATTGAAGAGAAAACAAAGCTCATGGTAGAGTGGTATGAGATTCAATCCTTCTCTCTTGACAGTATTTTGCTTACCTTATGTAATCTCACTGATTGAGTGCCTCCTCCTTGAAATTTTGGTTCTTTAAAAAGGGTTAAAAAACATGAAAACATATGGGTGTCTAAGTGATATGAGAAAAATTGATATCCCTGGCCTGGGATGATATTATGATAATGATGTAAGACAGGAAACAGAAATCCTACTAGAACATACGTGATGCATAAAGAGACATGACTGAGCGTTGTTTTGCAACCTCCCTGACAGTCTAACTCTGGACAGTTTGAGCTCCTGGCTCTGAGTTGAATGCAATTCTCTTCTTACTGTTGATTATAGAAAAAAACTAACGGGGACCCTGCGATGCATGGGATTTATTAATCGAAAGTTAAATAATAGTAAGGGTCATTTACTAAAATGTTAAATACCTCTTATAGTTTCATGGATTTACTAAAATCTACCCTACAGTTAGCATTTTACTAAAACATCACTTATAATTTGCAATGGATTTAATCAATCTTCCATTAGATGACAGTGGAAAATGACAGTGTTGACCCTAATGTTCATTTAAATAAATTTAATCAAAAGAAAATAAAAATAAAAATACCATTTTTGCCCTTAATAAGACACGGGCAACCACTCTATTGGCTATATTTGGTCAATTTTGTTTTCTATACAAAAAAGTGTTAAGGATATTTTTAGAATAAAAAATCATGGGTCTAATGGAAAAACAAACACTCCTTAATGAAAGGTTGATTAAGTAAATAAGTTGTACAATATATGGGATGTTTTAGTAAAATGAAAACTACAAGGTAGGTTTAAGTAAATATGTAAAACTATAAGGTGTGTAGGATTGGCAAGGGATTCCCCGTCCCCGACCCCAATTCTGAAATTAATCCCCATCCCTGATCCTCGATGGGGATGGGTTCCCCGTGGGGACCCGAATTCCCAAAATGTTTAAATTTAATAGTATTTTTCTAAAATAAATTTATTTAAAATAAATAAAAAATTTAAATTATAGAAAATTGTTTGAATATGTTTTGATATATATATATATATAATATAAATAATATAATAGTATATTTAATATAAATAACATTTAATATATATAATCGGGGGCGGGGCGGGG